TTGTTATTATCAGAAACAAAAGACGGTCGGACTCTTAAGATATTGGATGACTTCCAAGAAAAGAGTAATTTTAAGACAAAAGCAGAAGGAGAATACCCTTAATGACACCTACGTTCTTATATAGATTTATAAATCTGACTATGTGTGTTTGCTGTACAGACATTTTCAGTTATAAAAGCTAAAATTTGGTATATTAAACAATAAACATATTTCTCCTTATTTATTTTATCCTTAGGGCAAGATATAGCTCATATGATCATGTGCGAAATAATCTATATTTTTAAGCAATAAGGACTTTGAAATTTAAAGTATAAAACAATTTAAATGAACATTGTGTGCATTTTAAGAATATAAATAGCTCATTTTATTATTGGTAAGAATATACAGAGTGTTCCGTAAGTAAACCAGTGAACTCCAGGAAATGGGGTTTTTTTTAAAGAACCTCTGTACCATTTCCCGGAGTTTGATTTTTTAATTACAAAACATCCAGTATTCCCTAATCATATTAAGATTATTATTAGCATAACGCTAACTTATTTGATGCATTGCTATATTTATTTTAAATAATATAGTCTTATTTGATTTTTTTTAATGTTCTTAAGTAAAACTGTAAACATATTTTGTCGGTTTGGAATTATTAATACGCATGTTATATAATGTAAAGAATTTAATAAAAGTATTTTAGCCATTATGATGTTTAGTACATTAAGTATACCTCACCTTTAACGTATATTCTGTTTTAAATCGAAATGCACGTAGCTTTTAAATAAGATTGGCTGGGAGCCGGGGCAAAGAATATTTTATTTATAAAGAAAGAAAGACATGACTTGTGATGTTTTATTAAAATCTCTCAATGAAAGGGCCTTACATATTAACTTCTGGATGAGAAAATATATTTATTTGTAGATCAGTCAATTTCCTATATTTCGTATACATATAATTAATTCAATGTTTTACCAATAAAACATTTAATAAATAATAGTATGACTGAATATAGTATTGACCATTATTACGACTTCGTCTATATATTTTTGGTCAAAAGTAAAGGAACTTTACATATTGGTCGATAGACAAACAACCATTGTTGTGTTTTAAATGTTCATTCTAAATAATAAAACCCAAATTTATATGAAAATGTTTGTATTTTCAAATTTTATTGTATGTTAACTTTCAAGTCCTTACCCTATTACATTGGGATAATTGTCTCAGCTAGTTATTTACTTAACCAGTCTATATATAGTTAAAAGTTTGAATAAGTTTCCCAACTTCTACAATTTTTAATTTTTCATACTGCAGTATAATATGGTTATTATTTATCCAACAGATTTTATTCTGTCATGGATTACAAAACATACGTAAGATAACAAAATCTGGAAACTTCTTATTTTAATTCTTATCTGTATCCGATTTTTTCAAGTATAGTGTATTATTTTAGGGATCTTCTAATAATAATTTATTTTAATAACATAATAAACCATGATTTCACACTGAAAAATAATGTATTTTCCTTTCAAGCGCCATATATCTTTCCATAAATTATTTAATCACCCCTTACCTTATGACTTTTTATTCAAGGGTAAATCCTACACGTCCCTAGCCTGGTAATAGAAGCAATTTAGTTGATATTATTAGTTTAATTTGAATTGAATATATTTATTAAGCCCATAAATAGTTTTATAGAAGTAACAGTGTGTTTCTAAATTTGTTTACCAAAATAGTAGAAATTATTGTGTTTGTAGCATTAGTTGGAACAAAAAATCATTCCAAACATTAGGGCTATAAAATAAATAGGCACTCAATTCGGTCTCCTATGACATACCGTAGTAGTGTAGTTAGTGGTGTGGGTGTTTTCTTTCCACATTTAAATCAAATGTGGGAATACCTGCCATTGAATAGGGGTAGAATACCTATCTATTTCGGAAAAAATACAAATTTGTTACCAAACTTAATTATATATTTCTCCTCCAATATCCATCCCCATTGACCAGGTAACACAGCTGACTGTTGTTTGGACACACGCCGTCATTGCAAGCTGGTTACCTCTGCTGTTATTGCCGAACTTTTCTCATAACGATGGTTGCCTGTCACTCTTTCGTTTCGTCGTAATGAGTATAGAAGTGGTGCAATTTCTGTACGTGTCGAAAAAGCAATTCACTTCACAAAGATGAAATTAGTAACTTTTTGACAGTTTTAAACAATTACTGGAAAGAGTATATTTAGTTCAACAGTATTATATTTTCCTGAAAGTTTTGTGATGTTTTGTCCTGATGAGTTTGTAAAATGTTGGATGCACTATTGTTAAGCTACTATTTTGTTATGGCCATCTTTTAATTTTTATGATTGACAATAAAGAAATTTAAAGTACTATTGTTAATTTATATGCAAGTTGTTATTAAATATAGATTTATAGCTAAACTGTTACTTATTAAACGTGTTATCGTACATAAAGGATCATGTTAAAGGTTATTACAAAGGTTTCACTTATTTTTACACACTTCCATCACCCCTATTCGTATGCTGTTTTGATTTATTAACGATTTGTAGAACTTTTTAAAGTTTTAAACTTTACAAAAGCATCTTTCTCTTTCATTACCCGATCCATACCTTCTCACATTTCTGCTTTATGAGAGGTAGTATATACAAGTTTTAATTCTTTGAATACAGAACCTCTTTTTTTTATCATTATATCTCATTTCAAGAAAGGCCCTCCCATCGATAAATATTTTATTGCTACACATTTTAGAACCAATTGACTGATTATTTCGCGTCTTTTGTCTGATAAATAGCCACAAAAAGCGATAGCTACTACATACAAGGTTTCAAAGGTCGTACAATTTGTTATTGAATAGCTCCCCAACATTCCAGCATTTACGTTTCTTCATAAATATCAAATAATAAAACTGTGTAAATCAACAAATTCAATTTACGATAGACTAACTACAATATATATAAAATTAAGACTTGCCACAGCTGCACTTTTACACCATCCCACTTTTATACGTTTGAAAGGACCGACAGCAATGATAATTTAAACTGTGGTCTGAACAAAAACAAGAGTTTTATTCAGAAGATTGTACAACAAAGGATGGGCAGTCATCACGGGCTGTTGACTCCTACATTGTGTGGAGCCATCGCGTATTCATAATCCTAAAACAATGTTTTTCGCTTTCATAAATCTCGCGTCATAAGTTGTCATCTGCTTTTTCAAGCTCGTAATACACAGAGTGTCCTATGAATGGACTGAACATTTTGATTTTATGTTACTTGTTACTAAACATTTAGAAACATATAATATAGTAGTCATAAAATGCTAGGTGTATACCTAGGCGTATACTCTCATAAAGTAGGGGTTTAAAATGTGTTCTTAGCTTTTAAGTTTCCTTATGTGCTACAAAATGGAAATGGCAGCAGATAAAAGGAAACCTTACACAAGTAAAAGAAAATCGTGTTTTTGGTTTTAAATATTTTCATAGTTCTATTTTAGTAAGGGGTTCAAATCAGAAAACATTGCCTATTGGAAAACCTAAATTACAGTCTAAAATAAGTCAAAACGGAACCCATGCGGAGCAACACACTAAAAAAAACGCTCAGCAAATAAATTTAATCATAGTAAGCATTATCATATTAATTCGGTGCCATCCTTTAAGGTGTGGTCATCAATAATTATATTAATCGATTATTATTAATAAATATATATTGTGTACAAATTTGTCACTTTAAGATCCCCCATGAAGAAGAATTATTGGGGTTAAAAGTAGACTCCATATGTTTTACAACTGAATAAGGAAATCAGGTAACAACTTAGAAAACACCCTTTTTTAGGAAGCAAATAAAAAAATCAATAAATTATTTGAAATCTTTTGTCAATGTTTTTGAAACATGCTTTACAAAGAGTGTAGGGTTCCAAATTAATAACCATTGACAAGTAATATAAAATTTGACTTCTCAACTTCTAAATAAGGCAATATCTATATAAAACTGGTATTTAGTGACCCCTAGATATCGGGGTTGCTTTCATAGCATTAACGTTTATGGATAGGACAAAAATGTGGGATTGAACATTTAAGAATAAATATAATGATTCTAGAATCCTCCTATGGAGACGTAAATACGACAAAACAGCTTTAGAGAAAAGTAACAATTCTCGAAAACTATATTTACAATAACAACTGTGTTTATGTATTCTAATTTTAGGCAACCAAGTAAGTGAATAAATATTATTTAGACTTTTTTTGTAATTTTAATTGTTTACTTTAACTTGTAAATATTATAAACCTTTCAATGGAGTATACACTTTACCAACAGAAAAAGACAATGTAAGACTCAGCTCATCTTGTATCAAATGAAAGATGTTTCTTTAAGTCAGTAATGAGAAGGTTGCGTGTACAGGGAATGTTATCTAAAGAAACCTTGGTTGTATTTATCGTATTTATATCGGCAAAATACAATCGATAAGGCATATTCACCTTTCGGCGAATCTCTTGCTAGAGTTTCAAGTAAATTTTAACTTCATTTACAATGATATTACCCTATCATCCTCTTAATGATCTTGGTCCAGTTCAAATTTATTGTAGTTATTTTGTTTTAAAAACATTCATGAACTACAATATTTGCAGACCAAATAAACAACATTTTACGTGTCCTGATGAAAAACTGTGGTTACCTATTTAATCTCATAAAGTTTTGAGTATTAAACTATCCCTGTTTGTAAACAAGGTAAACACATGGGTGAACAATAAACATTTTATATCATGACCACTATACTAAACGACTTAACAAAATGAGAATCATTCATTAGTTCCTTGGTGCGAAAGATGAGAAGGTAATTTCCTTATGGCCAATAAACAAGAAGCTAGAAAGAAACGATTGTAAGAGTAGGCCAACTGCACGAACATTTCAAGTCACAAAATCTACTGTACAGTTGCTATGTGTACGAACTAATTAAAATATATTCGTAGTGAGTATTCAAGGAATGCAGAACCGTTTGTTTATTGTTGCAGGCCGCCGAGCTAGAAGCATCGAGTCGAATGGAATTCCAGCGCCCGTGGAAGAATTCAACAATGGTATGTTCCACCTAATAAAGTTACATTCCCATTTGATGCCACGCTTTATATTTTTTGCGCTCTCTTTATATTCTTCCACAGTTATACCAGACTAGTAAGAGAACTGCAAACGTTGTAATGGTTTTGTTCGAGATGAAAAAATGTAATTGTTTCAAGATAGAAGATACGGGATGTGTATAAGTTATTTTCATTAATTTTGGATTTTAAATGATTATTGGAAATAAAGTTGTGTCATAGTTTTTTTTTTTCAAACAAAACAAGTACTTTGGTCTAGATTAGATTATAAATTAGCTCCACAGACACAAATATTGCTAATTAGTTATTAACTTATGAAACTATGTATAAATATGAATTGGAGGTTCAAATTTTCTTGCAGTTCAAAGGTTGGCCCTGGGTGCCGGGCTTAAATGTTTTAAATTTACAATAGTTTTATCTATGCACTAATAAATGGTGATATTCTTTCCCATTTAACTTGTATATTCTCCTAGTAAGAAACACATTTGATTTTGAAAGTTTGATCCAAAGCAAGGGTAGCATTCTCTGCATATGACCACAAATAAGACAAAATCCATTCAATATTTCCCTAGAACCTGGGAAATTATACAAAAACACTGCCATAATAATTTTACCTCGCAGTAACTGTATTAATAAAATTAAAGTATGAAGACTAATAATAAAATTATCTTTAGTATTAATGCATTTTTAGCATAGTATCTTTCGTGCTAGAACCTTAGGATATACTAAAGTACATTTTAAAATAATAAATTTAATAACCACTGTATCATTTAAATGCTTTAAAGTGAGTTCACTAACGTTTTACGCAATAGTAGAAGAGTAATGGGGGGGTAAGCTATCATCCAGTTTTTTTCACCAATGACCCTAGTTAAAATCCTGACAACACCATTTTGTGAACGTGCCCCAAGTAGTTGCTATTCATATGTAGTCCTCTACACCTTCTATGAACGGTGCCCACTGCTAATTTGGTAGACTTGGACCACATATTGTGAAGGATAACCTTCAATTAACCTTCGATATTTAACCTTTCTGTTGGTGTCCTCGCAAACAATAAAAGTAGTTACTGGTTTACAAGTTAGTTTGAAATGTTGATGTAGCACTTTGGTTGAGAGTTAAGTTTCAACGCACCCCTTTGATCTTATAAACGAATATTGTTTCAAACTGTTAGAGCAGTAATGTACTTGGTCGCTCAAACGTTGTCCCTAAACATTATTATGTTCCTTCAATCTTATATTGACAGTTACAAAGTACGTGACATTGGGAATAATACTACAATATTTTTGAATATTTAAACACTAGTATAGTAGGTATCGTGTTAAATAAACCCCATAGTATTTAAATTATGATTTATGAATAAACTAATAATCATTTCCTTTTCACGCGATAGGGTTTGGCAAAGTAAATAATAACATCTTCTACGTTATAAAATAAAGTTTTTAAATATTTAGCCTCCAACTGCTTTTTTACTAATTCAATTACATCTTATAGAACCTAACTCACTATTGTAAAATATTTAAACTTTACACATAGTTTTTTTAGCCTAAAAACTAAATATGTAGCTAGTGAAAAATCTTTATACATTGTTTTGATTTAGTCAAACCAAGGCAGGTTGTATTCTCAGGTACCTCCTTATTCTCTCTAGTGAGTATCAAGGATTATTTGTAAACCAAATGTTATAACTGCCGCAATTTAATGGTCTCTTCAGTTCCTTGTTATTGTGTTGAGATCGTTAAGAGAAACTCCCCGTGTAAACATTTGTTCAGCGGAACCTCAAGACCCTTAACTTCAAACAGTACAAATAAAACATCAAGTGGATATTGAGCTGTTCTATCAAGACCGTCGTAAATTATATCTTTTATTTTAATGAAGACCAGGTTAAATCACGGTTATAGATTATGTAGAGTATGTATGCATTTTGATATTATATTGAATATACTGAAAATATGTCCTACAGAGGCGCTGTAGTTATAAGTTTATTTACACTTACTAGTCAAGGCAATTTAGTCCAAAAAGAGCTGTAGCTCCTAAAAATTGGGGGAAAGCTGGGTGTTGTTTAATCTAATCTGGAGATCCTAAATAAGTAAAAAATGAGTAAGTGACGGATTCTGAAGTGAGCTAAGTGTATGGGAGGCAAACAACTAGGCTGATGGAGTTCATTTTTTGTTTGTTTTTCCCTCATAACGGTGTATTAAATAACATCCCACAACAAAAGGGTTTACATACGTTTGTTTCTAAAGAACATTAGATCTCGCGTCGAATGACGTTAAAATAATTTAAAAGTTCAGTAATTTTAACATTCTCCTTGACTCCTCATCCTATTCTTGGTTATTTCAGCGTGTTCCGCCAGTTGGCAGTGTATGCTATAGTTTTCGGTTAAAATTACTGAGCTTTGACGATCTGTTGTAGCAGAACAACTAAACAGATTATAATTATTTTAACGTCATTCGACGCGGAATCTAATGTTCCTTAGAATTTAAACCCATATTTTTTTTGGAGGATGCACTGTTTTTTAGTTATAAGCGAAAAATTAAAAAGTAAGCAAAATCTGCCTAGTTTTGCCTCTTATACACTAAGCTCATTTCAGAATCCGTCTCAAACTCATTTTAAACTTATTTAGGGTCTCCAGAACAGATTGAAACCTGCTTTTCCCTAAACTTTAGGAGTTACAAGTCTAATTTGCCTTGGCTATACATATTGTCTGTATTCAAAGGCGCTGTAGTTATAAGTTTACTTACACTTACATATTGACTGTCCTACAGAGGTGTTGTAGTTATATGTCTACTTACCCTTACATGACTGTCCTACAGAGGTGCTGTAGTTATATGTCTACTTACACTTACATATTAACCGTCCTACAAAGGTGCTGTAGTTATAAGTCTACTTACACTTACATATATACTGTCCTACAGAGGTGTTGTAGTTATATGTCTACTAACCCTTACATATTGACTGTCCTACAGAGGTGTTGTAGTTATATGTCTACTTACCCTTATATGACTGTCCTACAGAGGTGCTGTAGTTATATGTCTACTTACACTTACATATATACTGTTCTACAGAGGTGTTGTAGTTATATGTCTACTGACCCTTACATATTGACTGTCCTACAGAGGTGTTGTAGTTATTTGTCTACTAACCCTTACATATTGACTGTCCTACAGAGGTGCTGTAGTTATATGTCTACTTACACTTACATATATACTGTCCTACAGAGGTGTTGTAGTTATATGTCTACTAACCGACTGTCCTACAGAGGTGTTGTAGTTTTATGTTTACTTACACTACATAGAGATTGTTTGTCCTACAGAGGCGCTGTTGCCGAGGTTCGCTGAGCCTATACAGAACGTCACAGTCACCGTAGGTAGAGATGCTCTACTCGCCTGTGTCGTCGACAACCTTAGAGGCTACAAGGTAACTTTGTATTTACCATACTTTACGCAACGTTTATTTAGTAAAGAAGTAACGGCTCAACTGAAAAATTTATCAATACTAGTAGCCAAGAAGGTACATACAGAGTTCCGTATACAAAAGTTGATAAAGGAAAACAGCTGGGCAAAAGGTTATGTGAAGGTTACGTTCACGGTGCGTTTTCCTAATCAATAATTTTTTTTTGAAATGTTTGTTATTCAGTTTTAAATTTAAATAAATGTAAGAATCAGTTTAGTTTAAATGTACATTTTAAACATCCTAACTTAACCCCTAAAAAATCCTCTTCCCTCTTACTTTTATAAAGCGAGACGCTTTTGCAAAGACTTTTTGCGGACATATGTTCTTGAACGACGCTTGCGTACATAAGGTTGATTTATTGGTATGAGTTTGAGTCATCCTTTAAAATCTCATTTCCTTCCATCTCATCATCATCATCGTTACTGAATAGTAATGTGTGTCTGTAGTCAAAGACATAGTCGTACATATTCATGCATACCTAATATAGCTCTATGTAAGTACAACTGCAGTTGAAAAGCTTGCACGAAAACATTCTTGTGCCGTGGTAGTTGGCGTAATCCAACTCCATACCCAGAGTATTATATTTAATAGATTTTAACTTGTCATCCAGAAAACCTAGTCATACATAGATATGGCTACGTAACGTTTAAGGTTCAAATTCAAACTAGAACCAGCATCTTCGTGTTGTAAAATACGGAAAGTGTGTGATTTGACATAGTTGAGAGTTCCTACTCGTACATATTCTAGTAGATTTAGCTGTATAACGTGTAAGGTACAATATATAACGTGCACCAGGACTTGCGTGTGTCCTGGCAGGTGGCGTGGGTGCGAGTCGACACCCAGACTATTCTGTCCATCCATCACAACGTCATCACCCAGAACCCGAGGATCACCCTGAGCTACAACGACCATCGCTCGTGGTACCTCCACATCAAGAATGTCCAGGAGACGGACCGCGGCTGGTACATGTGTCAAGTTAATACTGATCCAATGAGAATGCGGCAGGGTTACCTTCAGGTTGTTGGTAGGTATAAAATGTATATTTTAAATCATATGATTTTGTTGTTAAACTTTTACCAGAATAGTACAACGTAATTTGCCTATCACTGCTAATCACTTAGTTCTCGAGAGACCGCAAAAGATTTTAGGTGGGTTTTCATACTATCAGTGAATTATACACGAACAATCTATGGTATTAAGTTAATGAAATGAGTTATAATCCAAACTCTGGATTTTTGTAATGTTTCTGAGTAAAATTAAACCCAAATATGATTCTAATTGTTTTTGATTAGCTATTGCTTTTTGGTAAAAAAGAAAATTATTTAATCTTTTTTTCACACTCCGTGTACAAAGCTTAGGTGGTTTTAGGTGAAGAAATGCATCCCCTCACTTGATCCTACCTTTAAAACAATTGTTCAACAGCTAAAACAGCTACAACATATCAATTATCTATCAATCAATCATTGAGATGGTGACGCCCCATATGTGAGTTGAGTATACATTACAACAGGTAGTGGGAACTTCCCTTCAAGCCACCTAAACTTTTTGGCACACACTTTTTGGCATATTTAAATCGTCATAGGAGTCTGTTTCCGTTTCACTTTTGTAAATAGCATCATTAATTAATAACTAAATGTCAAAAGCACCTGGGTACAGAATCGCCCCCACTTTAATCAAATTAGATAATACTATTTAAACGGGAAAACTTTGGCCACTTAGTCTGAGTTATACTGCTTTTCTTAAATGCCATATACACAAAGTATTTATCGGTCATATAAAGCTGATGTAATTTTCACAGTGCCACCCAGTATAGTAGACAAGGAGACCTCCACAGACATGGTGGTGAGAGAGTCAGCCAACGTGACTTTGACGTGCAAAGCTGTTGGTTATCCCGAGCCTTACGTCATGTGGCGAAGAGAAGATGGCGAGGATATCAACTACAACGGCGAACCTGGTAATCATCTAGTAAAAAAATGTTTCGGATAAAAAAAACTAATTTTGTTCTTAAAAGATAGAAAACTTTAATAAATTTAAGTTAATACGTTTTAAGATTTTACTTCAGTATAAAAATAACCATTTTAATTTATAACTGATCAGACTGTTTGATCATAAATGATTGAGCTTGAATTGCTTAAAATATTCAATAATACACGTTGAACTATATCAAGTAATAACACTACTGTTCACGGTATGTTAACATTTGTTGATAAACAGCTATATGTTATTTCTGAGTAATATATACTAAAAAGTCAGGGAGTTTTTCGATTGCAATCATACAAATATTCCTAAAGTCGTTTTCTTAATAAATAATTTAATTTATTTCTAGGTCGTAAAATTCAAACAGGTTTTTTTGCATAAGCTATTTTTAGCTAATCATGGATTCAATTTAAACTTCTAATCGTCCTATTTGTTCATGAAATATTATTGTTAGGTTAGTTTTATATTGATATTTCATAAAGAATGTATGTTTTCAGTGAACGTGGTAGATGGAGAGGTTCTTCACATTACCAAGGTCAGCCGACTACACATGGGAGCCTATCTGTGTATAGCCTCTAACGGCGTCCCTCCTTCCATCAGTAAAAGAGTCATGCTCAGAGTACAATGTAAGTAAAACATCTCATGAAATCCAGACTTCCCATAGCACTATCTATCTTTGCTACACTCTTGGGAAGACCCTTAACGATAAAGTTGTTAATGATATTTTATAGCAAACAACATAAAATTATTTTAGTGAAATCTCTTTATTACAGCAAAATTCAAAAAGCTAATAAGTTTTCATTTAATATGGGCTGTATCTAAATTTGAGAGTTGCTAAATCAACTAACTGTTTGAATGAAATTTAAAATGTCTGTAGCTGATTCATAAATGGCCATTGTTTTGGGTTTTTTATTCAATAAACTAGACATATTGTTTGTTTTTAAGCAGCTATTTTGTTATTAATGATCTATAGTGTCATTTCCAATGTTAGTGTTATGTATATTGATTTCAAGAGTAAATATTACTGTTTTATGTGCCAACCACCCCGAAAGCCCTTCCGGCCAATGCAACTGTTTTGTGTTTACTTTGGGGTAACTGGCAATTTATTGTTAAAGCGGCAACTAAGCACTTCTTATTCTTCTATAGCCGATAATATAAACTAAAGGTCGACCAGTGGTCGAAAACTCAACCAAAATATATGAAATGTACAGACTTCTCTATTTTCACCCCACGCTGTAAATAAAACGTGTGATAGGAATTTATTTTATTTATTTTGATTATCTGTTTATATTTTGTTGATATTTCGTCACCAGCATAGCAATCCCTTTAGACCCATCGGTGTTAGTTTTTTTTTTTTTTTAATTAAATTGTTGTGCTTATTTTAGATTTAATTTCAACTTATAAAGGGATTCTGCACATCTACAAGAATAGAATATTTTCCTTACCTAGGGTCTAAAATGAGGTTTTGCCGGATCGAGATCATTTTTAAATTCGAGACGAAGTTGAGAACTTGAAACGATCGAGAGCTACAAAACCCGTTCGGCCCATGGTACGAACACTATTTTTCACCACTCTACAAAATTAAGAAAATACATACGATAAATGTACACTTATAGCCAACACAACAAAAACTTTATGTGAAGAAATACTTAAAGTAATCGGCCGAAATAATAATAAATAGTAGCTACGCAGCAGTGACAATTAAACAAGTCAATCGCAATGCATAATATTATACTGCATTATTATTATTACTGCTCGGTCCCCAAATAACGAAGACACCAGGCATGGCCAGCAATATGTTGTTTTCAGCCTAAAATTAACGTTATCAATCAACGTTATTAAATTATCGTAGTATGGTGAACAATATCTTTCTAGCAGTGTATGTAGATTTTCCTTGTGATGCACATAAGCTGAGAGAAAAGGTTTCAAGAACCATGCTTGCCTATTAATACTATAATATATATTGAATTTCTACCCACGTATTCTGGAATCTAAACTCTGGAAACATATATTTATTCTTATACTGTTTACTCCCAAGACGTTTAATGCGTGTTAAATATAGTTAATGGTGATCAATTTTGATTCGAAAATCCTACACTTATCACACCATATTACACACAATCTCCAGACAATTTATTTATCATTTATTTGTTGTTTAGTTCCACCAATGCTGTCGATCCCTAACCAGCTGGAGGGAGCCTACATTGGTCAAGATGTCCAGCTGGAGTGCCATACTGAGGCCTATCCCACCTCCATCAACTACTGGACTACAGAGAAAGGCGACATGATCGTCTCTGGTAACTACATAATGTTTATTGTAGAGTTTATGGTTAATCATAACAAGTGTAATGTATTTTGTAACAAAGAACCTATACCCATTGGTTGAAGATGCCCGTTGTAAGTATAATTGAGCATAAAAAAACAAAAACAAATGTCTTTACTAAACTTTTCTGTGGAAAACTAGTTTTACTACGTATCCTTTTCTACTAAGCACTAAAAAAAAATATCTTTAAGCCTTAATTTCCTCGAAATGTTTTGCTAGTTGCAACCTTAATTAGTTCCATGATTACCTTCCCTCTCGAAATATATTTTAAAATCTCTGAGAAGAGGAGAATGATATAGTTGTTTATTTGTTTTATGAAGTAAAATAATTATTTTGAAAAGGTGAAGCAATATGCGACAAACACAACATATACAATGTGAGGTTCAAAATTGTTGTTGATATAAAGTTGTAGAAGTCGAAACAAGATGAACATGGTAAAGATAAACGTAGTGAAAGTAAACGATGTATGTATTTTTGTAAATTATTTTAGAAATATTTAACAATTAATTAAGTAGCAATATTGTTTTTCAACTTAACTTACAAAAAACAACTAAAGCAACAAAACCATAAAACATAAGACATAATTATACCTGGCATATATTGTTCAACCAATGATAAATATTTTAAACTATTCTTTAGCTAGATAAACAGGACAAACAAGTCTAATATAAGTGTCATATACATATATAAGGCTTGAAAAAGCCAGGGTAATTAAATAAGGGTTTAAAAGAAACCTACAATACTAAAATTTCAAAAAAAATATTGGTAAAACTGTTAAGACAAATTACGTAAAAACGTGGAAAATTAAGTACGTAAATTAAGTGGTTTGATCTAAAAAATCTCTTGATGGGCTTTAAATAACAATTTATGCTAGTTGATATATAAAATTAGATACTTTTGTTTTTGATTTTATGAATAGATTATTGTATTGTTTTATTTACTTAATTTGACAAAAGTCGTCATGAAAAACAGATCTTGTACTTGCAACAGAGGCTTGAAAATAAAGACCTTATTTATTTATTTATTTATTTAAAATTCATAGATTTGTTGTTTTATTGAATTTTCTATATATAACATAAATAAGATTACTATAATTTCTTTGCGTTTAGTATCCAAACAATTCATTTGAACTTTGAAATCTAAATATAATAAAAATAATATTTTTCATATTAAAAAGGTGAATATAGCGATTTAAATAATAATGATTAATAAATAACACAGAAAGAGGATAATGTAGAGGTTTAGTTGGTGCGAGCTAATGTTGTGTTTCAATTATCCACAACCCTTGATCCTTCGCATTCAATCACCCTGCAACGTCTCTTGGGCCTGTCAAATTCGATAACTTAACTTCCAATATTGTTTACTGATCAAAGTAGGTTTTCTTTTACGATAATTTGATTTGCCGCTTCAATTTCGAGGGATGGATATAAACCGCGGGAAAAGAGTGCAGATGTTTTCAATATATTTTAAGGTTATTTAGAAAACTATTTGAGAATAATTTTGGATTAAATTGATTTTTAAACCTAAGTATATTTATATAAAGATTTCAATATTATTGGCAAATTGAAAGATTCTACATAATTTGCAAATTGAAAGATATTATTACAAGAATCTATTGAGGCTATTTATCATTTTGGAGAACTCTAATTCACTAATATTTTTCTTTTTTTTATCAATTAGAGTGAAAAATAATTTTACTACCATTTCAATTTAAATTTAAAGTATCCCTCTATTAAAGAGAAATTATTGTTCACCAAACTAGGACAGATTGTCTGTTGAACATTTACTATAATTTTTTAGGGTTAAAATATAATTCATTGCTTATCTGACATGGTTAATTTAACCTTATTAGTGAAAAAAATGTACAGATAATTGACGATTTTTCTGGAAGAACTGATCAGTATTTATAGGTTGTAAAAGTCATTATAAATAAATTAGTAAATTGGTAGATTACATCTTAAGGATCTTAAGGAAATTAATTACTGTATTAAATATTTTTTTACAAGTCTGCGGATAAAATTATGATATTGTTTTACTATGGTATAACAACAATATATGTGGGATGCTGAATACAAAAATATTTGGTAATACTATAATAACACATATTTAAAAAATCCAACTACAAACTACATCTGGATTTAGTCCCAACCCTATAACTATGACTACTTAAAAAAACTTTCCAGACCTTTTCATCACTGATGGAATTTATTTATTTATGGCTGAGGAGTTAACTGTGATAGCACACTTGTTGATATTAGTGGTTCGATAAGTCTTCTGTGATATACTGTAGAGCTATGAGCTGAGGAGCTAATGTGTGTAGACTTGCTGGTTGCAGGAGACAAGTACGAGGCTGTGTCTATGGACAACGGCTACAACAAGTACATGATGCTGAAGATACGAGGAGTGACTCGTCAGGACTTCGGCTCGTACCAGTGTGTCGCCAAGAACTCACTGGGGGAGACCGACGGCCTCATCAAACTTGATGGTGAGCCTAAGTTCAAAATTATCAGTACACTGAAGTTAGAATAAATTTTTTTAAATTTTATTTAAGTAGTTTATGCATAAGACTTTATGTTTTTGAAAATTAATATACGTTGCCGATCGATACACACTACGAAGTAAGTGGTGGACCAATGTCAACTATAGTTGATGACTAAACTAATTTTTTAAATACATGATTGAATTCTTCGTCTATATTTCATGTAGAAAAATATTTTTTGATCCTGATTAATCAGAAAGATTTATAGAAAAGATTGGTCTGTAGTTATGTTTAACAAGCTTGGTCCAAAAGGGAAATCTGTCCCTCAGGTTAAGGTAGTAACTTAAAGTCTGGTGTGAACTAAGTTGACGATCGGCAGTGAACGTGTTCATGTAAGCAATTAAGGTACCGTTTGAGTATGGTGGTTTTGTATGCCATATGCCATTTAAGAACTTTTACTCTTTCCTCATATAGTTATGTTAATTATTTAAAATTTAACATTAAATTGCTCTTTCTTTGCCTTTACGTAAAAAGAGTTAGAATGTGTCAATATATGGGGTAAAAGTTCCTAATGTCTTATCTAGTTTACGTATCGACCCCCATGAAAAGATCCTGTCCAGACTGGTCCGTGTGTCTGTGACCAAGTACCCCAATCATTTAATCTCTTTAATCAATTTAATCTCTTAGATGGAGTTTTAGGGTCTATTATGAAATTCGTTTAGAAAATAATGAAGAAAGGAATTTTAAATATGTAAAAAGATTATTCTGTCATAGTATTGGTTCTATTTTACAAGAACTGGGTCGCAGTTAACAATATGGATTATCTTTTGTTACAGAAATACCAGCACCATCAACGACATCTACCTCAACATCAATTACTCCAGTCGTGCCAAATACAAAGAAGAAAATAAAATCAAGTAAATATTTATCTAAGATAAGGTTTTATAGTATAAGAGCATTTTTATTTTGACCCGACATTATTGTTTGTTTAAAATGTACAGATTTCAGTAAGTTTGTGAACTTTTAGACCTTATATAATGGTATTTGATTATTATGAATTCCCTTATGTACGGAAAATATTAAAATAGTTTTGGCTCAAACATGAACACGAAAGATGTTTTGAGCAAAAGAAGAATGTATTTTCTTGCAAAGCAATTTATTATCGATGTAAAAATATGTACACACATTGAATTCCCTATTATTAATATATGTTTTAGAACACATTTAATCTTTTAGTGTCTTACGATGGATTAATTTTGTGTAGACAAAATGAAGAACAAACCTGGAAAGCAGAAGCCAGCAGACAACCAGGTGTTGGGGGACTATGATGGAGGCAGCAATGCTGAGTGGCATGCACCTGGAGGTGATATGTAGCTTCTTCTATTTGTTATCTATTGAATTTAGAAAGTAGTTATTTTCTTGAGTACTGTTGTACGGTTAAAGGTCAACATAGCCTTTTGTGTATAACGAATTACAATCAATAACAACTAATAAGAATTGAATTTCGCTCAACAAATAAGAAATATGTTAACTTCACTATCTCGCGTATACCTATACCTGTAGTCTTGCTATTTTAGAGCTATTTACGTTATATTGGAACGTAAAATACCCGACATGATGGGAAACTAAATTAATGATGTTGAAGGTCAACATTACAGTAAAAAGTGAGTATTCTAAAATGTTACTGAAGGTATTTAAAGTTCCTTGACTAAGAGTAACTGAAAAATCACAAATTTTCTATCTATTTATGTTATGGCTCTAATGTTTTAACTAATAATTAAGTCCTATAGATGTTTAGTGTTAATTTAAACACAGTAAATGGAACTTATCGGTATTATTTTTCTACAAAGACTTACAATTCAGTCTCTTAATATATTTATTATAATTTAAATAGTGCTGAAACTACACAAATTAAATAGACGATTACAGGTACTAATGATTTATTGACAAACCAAAGAAAAAATAATATATTTCAAATTTTTTAAAAGAAGATTTACACACATCTTTGTAAAGTTGTAGGGCTTTAACAATTGTATGGTTTAATATATAAAATAGTCACCCTATGTAAATTTGTTCTAGCTAGAAATAATTTAAATAAAGAAACAAGTTTTTCTAACTATTTTGAAGAGATTCTTTAATAAAAAAATAATTGTTTGACAAACATATAGACCATGTAATCCTCTAAAATCTTGTCAGAACTTCCAAATTAGTGTTAACTGAAGGACTTCATGTTGTGTTTGTGCTTGTAATCAGTTGGTAACTAAAAAACTATCCCATATTTCAGACTATCCTGACGGGCTTTCCTCCAAGGGGCCTCCCATTGGTCTAAACGGAGACGTCTCCCCCCTCCACTCACAACACCTACGTCATCATCTGCTCTACACATGTTTAATGGTGATACTGTTCAGGTGATGGACATACGTGTAGACACTGAATGTTACAATGTGATTACCAGTGTTGTCAACATTACAAAAGTGTTTACAAAACTAAGTTACTAAATTGCTTAGCTACTAAGGTCAAGTATCGTTGTTCTGATTATAAGAAAACAAATTACTATGTAAATAAATTAGTCAAAGTTGCGTGAATTCAAAATATAAGGTAAAATAGTTAAATCAAAACTTGTTTTTGTTTTCAAAAACTGCAATATAAACATTTAGCTTAAACTAATCAAAAGTGGTTAAGCTTAAGTTCAATTTTTAGACTGTATTTATGTACTATAGTAACAAAAATACAGTTTTCTCCAAGCTAAAATGGACTAACCAGAAGAGTGCAATTTAGTAATTTTCCTAATTTAATGCAGGTGAGAATTCAGATTCTTACTCATACGAGCGCTGTCCGTTAATTAAAGTCTCCATAGAACGTAAATAGTACATAGGTAGCTTTGATAGTACATATACAGCAGTAAACATTTTGACGAAGAGACCTGACGCGTGTTCATTAGATTCCATCAGGACAAATATAACGAATGAAGATAAGTTGCGTGCTGATCGGTGTGATTAAAAGTATAAGTCATAACGTTTCCTGTCCCTTAATAAATTCTTTAGAGACATCCTCAATCATATTGAAATTCCTGTTTCACGCCATAATCCGCAAGCTAAGATCTTCAAACATTGGTCTCAATCAAAAATTATGAATACTCACAACTGGTTGCACCACAAACATCGTAAAGGGCGTGCACATGTTAATGAACACTTCAAAACTCATTTTATCACCCAAAAAGATTGTCTACTGCTGCTAGACTTTAAAGGCGTTGACACCGTAGACTTCATACATCCGACCAAAGACACCATTAATTCATGACGGGAGGGTAGAACTCACATTGTTAACAGCATGGCACTATGTCAAGATTAACTGTTATATAGGGGTGGGAAACGGCTCGGATGGTAATGGGAGAACTAACAAAAGTGCAGCTAATCCCAAACTTGAGCTCGCTTTCAATAAATTAAGCTTGTTGTAGGTCTTAATTTTTGGACAGCATTCATATGTATATAAATTGGAAACAGTTTTATTGTCAAGTATCTTTGTTAATTGATTGTGATGTGTATTCTGCAGAATACAACAATGTATAACCAACAATCCTACTAAACCCTGTAAATTTAATTCCTTAGATAATCTTATTTTTCAAACAATAGTTTGATGAATAACTATAATATTTAGAAAGAAAAGCTATGAAAAAAAGTTGGCAAAACTGGACTCACTGTTACAATAGCGCTGTATATACGCGCGGCTTTTGGCGTGTATGTGATATTACGCTGATATTTTTATATGATTAAACTAAGTTACTGTGTTTATGGTGAACGTTTGAGTGAAAGTTTTGTGACATTGTGTTTTTGAAATAGCTAGGCTGCTTTGTACCTCATATTTACTATTTTGTTAGCTACAAGTGTAGTTTATGTAAATAAATAACGTATAATAGTATATTTTATAAGTGGATTGATATTTTAGGAAGAATATATATACACATTATAACAATTACCGATATATTTAAGATTCGTATTGATGTCCTCAACATAAGAATTTCCTATGCTATTATTGTTAGGGAAGAAAACTTTTCAACTAAAATTTAGGTACTAATAAGGACAACTGTTTAATTTTATGAAAAGCTGTTTTCCTTAAAAAAAGTAATGTTGTCTTAAAATAATCAAATACCAAATCTCATATTTGTATAGCATGATAATTAATAATAATTTGAAAATAAATAAAACAAATAATTTTACAAATACTGAAAAAATGTTCCATGAAAGATTTTTTACAAGGCCGTTGCTGATTAGTAACTGATTATGCATTACACTAATATTAATTGTAGCCATAAATTATATACTAGTTTTATTCGATATTTTGGCTTTAAAATTGTTTACCAAAAAAGCCCGTTATACAGTAGAACTGTCCATTAGTAAAAACTAGAAAAATGTTTAATACATATCTTATTAATTAAAATTAATCATTCGATTCCAAACATATCGTCAGCTAAAGTTGTTAATTGAGAAACTATTCATCATGTTAAATCCATTATAATTAACTAAATATTTTAATTGACTAAAAAAAGGTCAATGTGTGTAGTATGAAATAAAAATCCTTGTATAATAAGTATTTATATGATGTAAATTATATGAAATATAATGAAAATTGTACATAGCTATGTATGAATATTTGTTCGTCTTATACATATGTATATTACAGATGAATTTGTATATATCTTAAAATACCCAACTTGCAGTATCGTATAGCAAATATGTATAAAGTTCGTGTTAGACCACCAAGTAGCAGGTTGGTCATATCATTCAGAGACTGAAGTACTGGCTTTTGTCCCACTCAATAAATTGCAATAAATAAAATAATTTGTGTTCCTACTTGATTATTTTTCACTTTGTTCTTTAGCTACATAAGTAAATACCATAAGTAAGTGTACCATAAGTAAGCAAACTACAGGGTATTTTAAAGTTTTTCAAAGCAAGGACTGACTAGGTTGCAATAAGAAATATTTGCAAAACCTCATCTGAACGTTGGGCATTCAAGGGGCGTAGCCCGGGAGGGACTCAGGAAAGTGAGTAGGCCTATGACAATCCTAGATATGTGGACCATAGCTGTGCTTAATTTTGGATGTATCGGTTAAGTATTTTAGTCGTGAGAGCCGCACAGACATACAGGCACCACCTTAATTTTAAAATAGTATAGATAAGTTAGCAGCTTGTTTTATCACTATTACCTCATTTCACCTAATTAGTCGGGTAAATATAGGATATGACCTTAAAAAAATTGCAAGAAAACGTTTTATGGTTTTATTTTGTAGAGTTGGGTTTGCAGAATGACATACTAAAAGTTGCCAAAAATCGGTGCACGAGAAAACCACTAAAATCACAATTTAAAATGGCGGCTTTTTTCAACATTGGACAAATTAAAAAAACATATTTCACATGCATTTGCTATGCACATTTTTCGAGATATTGACTTGGGACCACCGCCTGTATTTATTGAGTGGTTAGTACTTCATTTTGATAGGGAACATGTTTTTGGCCGCCATCTTGGATCCACCATATTGGACATAGATAATTTTTTTTCAATGTAATGATAGTGTTGTGACACATCATTACCAACTACATTTTTACACTGATTTCAATGCCGAAATCCGTTTTTAAATATCTTTATTCATTTAGAAGATATATACAAAAGAAAACTCTGCACCATACATTTCTTATGGACGTTTCGTAGTTTGATATTTTTTTAAAATTATTTTTCTTATATCTCCAGTTCTTATTAACGCTTGTAGTTCGTTCTAGGCTTAAAATATTCAGTAATGTAAGGGCTTTCATTTGAGCTCTTGATCATTAAAATCAGACGAGTTAAAGACCTGCTACGAACCTCAGAACAATATTAAATTTAACTTTTTAGAAATATATTTTTATTAAAAGATTTATAACTCGGGTTGTTAATACGTCACCGAGTTCTTTCTGGTCTCAAATTGCTCAGTAAATGTTTGGCTTTAATTTTATTGATCATTAAACAAAATCTGACAATTTTAAAATGAGCCATGGACCATAATTTAACATTTGAATGTATTTATATTGAAATTTGTCTTTAGTTAAAGACGTATATTCCTAATTCTAAATAACTCCCAAAACTCTTTATAGTCTTAAATAATTCGCCAAAATATTGACTTTTATTTTAGCTATGGATTACTTTCCAGGAGTTATTAGGGTTTGGGATATATGTCCTTAACTAAAGACAAATTTCAAAATAAATACATTTTAATGTTAAATTATGGTCCATGGCTCATTTTAAAATTGTCAGATTTTGTTTAGTGATTAATAAAATCAAAGCTAAACATTCACTGAGTAATTTGAGACAAGAAAGAACTTGGTGACGTATTAACAACCCGAGTTATAAATATTTTAATAAAAATATATTTCTAAAAAGTTAAATTTAATATTGTTCTGAGGTTTGTAGCAGGTCTTTAACTCGTCTGATTTTAATGATCAAGAGCTCAAATGAAAGCCCTTACATTACTGAATATTTTAAGCCTAGAACGAACTACAAGCGTTAATAAGAACTGGAGATATAAGAAAAATAATTTTAAAAAAATATCAAACTACGAAACGTCCATAAGAAATGTATGGTGCAGAGTTTTCTTTTGTATATATCTTCTAAATGAATAAAGATATTTAAAAACGGATTTCGGCATTGAAATCAGTGTAAAAATGTAGTTGGTAATGATGTGTCACAACACTATCATTACATTGAAAAAAAATTATCTATGTCCAATATGGCGGATCCAAGATGGCGGCCAAAAACATGTTCCCTATCAAAATGAAGTACTAACCACTCAATAAATACAGGCGGTGGTCCCAAGTCAATATCTCGAAAAATGTGCATAGCAAATGCATGTGAAATATGTTTTTTTTAATTTGTCCAATGTTGAAAAAAGCCGCCATTTTAAATTGTGATTTTAGTGGTTTTCTCGTGCACCGATTTTTGGCAACTTTTAGTATGTCATTCTGCAAACCCAACTCTACAAAATAAAACCATAAAACGTTTTCTTGCAATTTTTTTAACGGTCCCTATGTAAGTTTGTTTAGTTTGCCTGGACTAAATCTGTTAGGTTTATTTTTTTATGGTAGACATTTCAACAAATGGATTTTTAAAGGTGTAACTGACCTCTCTTCAATTGAAATTCCCACCAAAATGGACCCTTAGCACCATGTCCATCAAGGCAAGTTGTGGTTCTGGAGAGCAATATTGATAATTATGTTGACGTTTTTGAGGTATAACAATATTTATAAGTAACACCAGATCTCAAATTTACAATAACACTTTTATTATTGTGCAGAACATAGCTCTACCTGCTGATCCACCGAATTGCCATATTAAACAGTACGCTCAGTGCTGTAAAACCCCTATGAAATAGGACACTGCTATACACGAACCTTAAACAAACTAAAATGACTACTTAAAGCTGTATGCGTTTTTAAATACCGAGTCTATACATTGTGATTCAAAAATCCAAATACTTATGTGATTGGAATTGTTTTATTACTTCTTTTACTTTAGATGTAAATAGCTAAACCTTCACCATGAAACTCTGGCAAAAATAAAGGAAATAAACTAAATAACTAAAATAAAACATAACCTGGGTAGCCGAATCGTTATAGTGTTTGTCTTCATATTTGAGGGTAAATGGTTATATTCCAACAGAGTTCGATCACACACCCAGATACCATTTATTATTGAGCTATTAATTTGGACCATTTAACCA